CCATGGACCTGGATACTTGTTTAGATCTTCCGTTGCTCAGGGGGTCATTTGTATGCTTCCTTCACTTATGCTTGTATCTTGGATTTTTAAGATATTCATTAACTATGGTTTTCATATTTGTATTTGCTGTTCTGGTTCTTGTACTTTTTGTTTTTTATCTATTGTTATGCACTGCCCAGAGTCACTTTTGCAGCTATATTAATTAGATTAATAAATAAAATATATTTTTTATTTTATACTTGATAGCAGTGGCTAGCTGGTAGCTAATGGGTTCTCTGGATGTGGAGAAAATGGGTGCCATTCAGAGCAAAAAAAAAAAAATTAGATTTTTTTTCCTGACTTTATTATTTTTATAAGTAGCTCAAGGCAACTAACAGATCTAATACTTCTTTCTTCTTTTATTTTTCCCACAATAACCAACCTATGAAGTGAATTAGTCTGAAAGAGAATGACTATTTTATTGAATAAATGTTTAAAATTTCAATTTTATATAAGGTTTAAAAGTTAAAAAGTCCTTAATCTACATCCTTCCAGATTGTAAGGAAGCCCAGAGAAATAGCAGTAGATGGATCCCCTTGAGCTAGCTGGAAGCTGCACAACAACTTTATTTATCTGTTTGTTTATCAAACTTAAATGCCACTCATCTCACCAGAACAACTCTAGGCAGCTTACAGACATTGAATAAAATATAGAATAAAATATTAAAATAATACTTTAAATTTAAAAATTCAATTAAAATAAAATTAAGCAGGATGGAGAGGGAGGGCACAAAGTGCACCTAGAGACGAGGTAGGGTGTTCTCTACTCCAGTGTTTCTCATAAGATGGGTGGACGTCAACTCCCAGAATTCCCCTGCTCTACTCCATTAAACACCTCCCTGGATCTTCCGATCTAGCCTAAGATTCAGTGTCCCTGGGGGCTTTTGCCATCCATTTATATTTTTCTTACAGGACAGGAAGTATAAACAATCACACCTAGAAATAGCTTGATGACACAACTTCAGACAATTGGTCCACTGCTAAGGATATTTTTAAGTAACACACACACTCCTAGCATATAACATCTGGGATAGTCTGATATTTACTTTATAAACAAGCCAGGTAAATGTCCCTTTGCTAAAAATATCTATACATGCTGTCCTCTTTATTTTAATTATTACAAGTAGCAATCTAGATAAAAGGTCACAGTAATTTATAATGAAGCAATCTACAAAGCTTGCTAAGCTGTTTTTTCCATGAACTTGCGAGGAATTTGCAATGCAAAGCTTGCAAGTTATACACAAGTTATACACTTATATGTGCAGAAGGAAAAAGGGGCTCATACTACTAACTCCTCACCAATCTTTTGCGGTGCCACTAAATAAAATCATTAAAAGTATGAACACTATTATAAACACAAATTAGAAACTTCTACAAAACTTGAAGTCACAAAATCTAGGGGGGGGGGAAGCATCTACAGGTGAGCCCACTTCCTCAACTGCTTAAAGGTTTAGCCGCTTTTGCAGTATGTTATATAGTATAAGGTTAGTCTTTGCTGACAGCAGTACTGTTTAATATAAATCTTTATCAGGAGCATCTATTTCAAAAGGAAGAAGTCGAAATATATTTTTCTTAAACCAGCAAACTTTTCTGGTTGTGAAAACACTTAATACAAAACTGTGGATCACAGAAATATTTGCACACACAGACATACAAACAAACATATCTGCACACTTTATGCATGGATAGCATTTGGATCAATGTTATATTAGCAGAATGGTAAACAGAAATGAGCTGAGCTGGATGATAGCTACCACTTCTGCCTATCTGCATTATGAGGAAAACTACTAACCAAATGGGAGAATGCCAATTGCTGTAACAGCAAAATTAGCCTAGATGTACAATGGCATAGAGAATCCGTGTTATGTGCAAGAAGAAATCAACTTATCACTTAAAATATTTTAATAAGATCATATAAATACTAAGAGAAGAAACTTATTAAGAATTACTCTGGGTAAGAGTAATAGGCAATCAAACAATATAAGATCTTTTAAATGCTGGTATCTGGTTGTGTCTTTTTATAGCAGCAGATTAGCCATTTTTCTCCAATGACTGATATGGCTTCAAAGTGAAGAAAATTTAGAAATCAAAACCTCTTTCACTTATTAGAAATTCACTTCTTTAATATCAGTCAGTGGTGACTACCCAGATGACACTTGGGGCAACAGTAAAATGTTTAGTTCCACTGATCAATGGAATGAGTCTTTAGTAACATTCCTCATTTTCAGTGTCCTACCCCAAGGGAAGAAGCCAGCTTTGAATCCATATACATATCAGAAGATTAACAGAACAGCAATTTTGATTGCTTTGAGAGGTAATCAGTCAATGAGTGTTCTTCTTGTCCCTTTGATGCATGTGGGAAACTGTGAAACGGCTTCCTTACAGACTTTGCTGCGCAGGTCCCATAGCTTGAGTGTTCTGTCATGACTCCCAGATACAATGCGAGTTTTGTCCAGAAGGAATTTGGCTGATAAAACCTTTCCACTATGCCCCGTGAGCGTGTGCTAGAGAAATTGACATTAGGTAAGAAAACAATTTTTTACACTCACTATTCAATAATTTAACAAAAATAGAATTTTAAACAATTACTTAGCCTTCATTCTACACTGAGAACTAAGAAATGACCTTTCTATACAAGTATGAGCACTAGTTTTGGTATCTGAAATAGATATCCAAAAGGTTGCATTTACAGGTAGTCCTTGACTTAGTAACAATTCATTGAGTAATTATTGAAAGGCACAATGGCACTGAAAAAGTGACTTATGACTGTTTTTCACACTTATGACTGCTGCAGCATCCCCATGGTTACATGATCAAAATTCAGATGGTTGGCAACCGATTCATATTTATGAGGGTTGCAGTGACCTGGCTCTTGTGATCACCTTTTGTAACCGTCTGACAAGCAAAGTCAATGGGGAAGCTAGATTCATTAACAATCATGTTAATAATTTAATAACTGCAATGATTAACTGAACAACAGTAGCAAAAAGGGTCGTAAAATAGGGCAAAACTCACTTAGCAAAATAAATTTGCAGCTCAAATGTGGTCGTAAGTTGAAACTGCCTGTGTTTTTTTTTTTTTCAATAGTGTTATATTTAACAATGGAGCATAGGTATGGTTGGCAGATGAAACCTACAATTATCTATGCTGGGAATATACAACAAGATATGGCTCACTGTTATACCCTGTTTCCATTTGTTTCCTAGAAATATTTGGTTGACCATCTTCAGAAAACCATTATCTGATCTCTGACCAATCAGTGAAGTTCTACAATTTTAAACAGAGAAGTCCTTTCCAAGTTCCTATAATTTAATACAGGTAGTCCCTGACTTAGACATTTATTTAGTGCCCATTCAAAATTAAAATGACACTGAACAAAGGGACTTACGATGTCTGCCCTAGGTTTACAGCCTCTACAGTCCCCCTCCCCCCATCACGTGAACAAAATTTGGGCATTTGACAATCCAACTGTCTTTAGACTATTCCCAGGATGCTGCAGCAGTCTCCAACTATCTCACCCCACTGGGTCCCTGCAGTCCCAAACCCTTCTTCCCACCCCCAAAATGACATCCAGTTCTGGGATAGCACCGTGTGGTCGCCATTGTGTAAGGAGGCTGTGTGGTAGAGAAGCTGCTTGCTGAAGGAGATCTACCAAAAAGGTAAGTGGCCAAGCTGTGATTGGGGATGGGAAGCAGGGTGTTGGAAACAGTGTGGCGGGAAAGCTGGCCCAAAGCCAGTGCAGACCCAGTGAGGCAGGAAAGAAGGCCTAAGGCCTGCAGGAATCCAGGGCGGGAAGCGGAGAATGGGCTGCCTGAAGGAATATGAGAGTCCCTGAAAGGCTTAAGAAGCTGGGGGAGGTGCTGCAGTGTAGGCTTGGGCTTGCACTAGATCAGAGGCAGAGGAAAAATTGGGGTCATTAAGTGAGGTAATCATGTGGGTGCTTTTCTTAATAACTATCATGACGTAATGAAATGGGCAGGCGCCATTATGGTCCTAAGTCAAGAACTATCTGTATTTACTGTGAAATAAAGTTCAATATACAGAAGATCACTAGCAAATCTAGTAACCGTTCATAATCTATGGCAGAGCAGTTCATGCTAGTTTGCTAATGTTTAATGCAGGGTTCTCAGGGATTGAAACTAAAGCTGTCTGCATATAAAACATGCTCCTACCTTCTTAGCTATAGTAAAAAAAAGCGTGGATTAGAGAAGGAAAGTAATGAATATGGAATATACTTTTATGTTTGCCAAACGAGTTTCAAAAGTTTGGCAACCTAGTGTTTTTATAGTGTTTATTTTAAAATATATGCCAAGTTATTAAATTATATAATTCTTTCAGAATCATATAAAAATACTTAATATCTATTTCCAAATAGTATGTTCAAATCACTTTGTGTTGGAAATATCAAACAAGTTATATAAATAAAACTAGGTAAAAGACGATTAAAGGACAACTCAAATTTTAATATATTGAGTGTTAACATCTATTATCACACTCAATTTCTAACATCTTTTTTATAGCTATAAACCTTGTCAGAATCAAGCACATGCACCACGTATTGGAAGAAATACTCACCCGTAACCGATGATCATCCATTGTCCAGATCCTACTGGCATAGTCATTTGAAGCCGCTAATAAGTAGGAACCCTATGGAAATGATTTTTAAAATGTTTTCTATAATAACCATTTTTACAATCTACAATTTCTAAGTAATTTTGTTTCACATTATTTTATGCTCTTATCTCAATCTATGCCATTGCCTAATCTTATCACTTCATTTGGGGTTTATTTACAAGTTTTTGAAGCTTCATTACCTTTATATATTCTCCCCTTCTTGTGTACCCTGATTCCATTTTTTTCCTCCATTATTTTCCCATTTATTTCCCTCATCCATTCTTTCTCCCACTCCTAATTCTTCTTTTTGTTGCTAGTGTCCTATGTAGATGTTTTGCTTCATTAAGAGGTCTCAGTTTAAAAAGCTGAGATCATATACCCATTTACTTGCCTCCAACACTTAAAACTCCTTTATTGTTTTATGTTGGATAATAATTTCAGCGGTGTCTACTCAATACTCTACAAGGACACAAGCTGAATATATCACAATGTATCAGCAAATACTCTCCCATACATAGCATTTCTATAGCTTGATGGAAGAATAACTGCTGGGAGTTAGATGACTAGGGAAGCAATATTCTGGGCAAATCAGACCTTTTACTATTCATCACTGACCTCAGCAAAACATTGTTGCCCTGTCTTGTAGAAGTAGTACAGACTTAAGTTATATACTTCGGCATTATTAAAAAAATAACCTGCTCAGGGTTAAAATACATATACCATCTATATTTACAAGCAACAGGCCTAACTTTTTCAGGTACTTCCAAAAGAAAAAAAAAAAGAATAAAATATTGTGTTACTAAAAAGATGACAATTTTATACCACTTCTCAGCAATTGCTTAATTTTCCAGATGAGCTGTCTTTTAATGTACATTGGTATTACTCAAGGAAGAAGAAAATTTTGAAATCAGACATAAATTAAAACCCCAGGCTTTTCTTTTACGGAGTGCAAATAAGCAATTAGGGAAAACAAAAGAATGAAATTTTGTTTCTATATGTGACATCAGTGGCAAGGTTACTATTTGTCCAAAAATGGAAAGAAGAAAATATGCCCACAATGGAAGAATTTTATTTATTTGTATTGCACTTTTCTTATTTTTTACAAATAACTCAAAGTGACAAACATATGCAACAACATTCCTCTTCCTATTTTCCCACAATAATCACCCTGTGAGGTAAGTTGGATTCAGAAGATGTGATTGGCCCAAGATCACCCAACTGGCTTTCATGGCTAAGGAGGGATTAGAACTCTGCTTTCGAGCCTGGTGCCTTAACCACTAAACCAAACTGGCTTTTGAAAGTAATGGAGCCAGTTGAGATGGTGAAATTGACTGCTTTGTTTAGAGAGAATAATTTGATGAAATTTATTTTGACTTGGAGACCACTGTTAGCTTACAAATCAAGGGGGAAAAAATCAACTGTTGACTTTGGAATTTGAGGATTGGATTGAATTAAGAGAAATACTGTAGCTTTTTAAATATGGAATTATTCATATTTTACAATTCATTTACCTTTTGGATTAAAATCAAAAGAAGAATATTTTATAAATATGATTACTTAAAAAAGTTGATTATTGGTAAAATACCAATAATAAACTTTTTAAATAATCATATTTAAATACCTTACATCAATATCTAGCACATCTCTTTTGATATTTCCAGAAGAACAGTCAATATATATTGATACCAATATCAATATGCACTGTGCAGCAATTCAATCCTATTTCTTTATTTATTTTTATATTGATTGTTCTTCTGGAAATGCCATAAATGATGTGCTAGTGAAGCAGGGCAGAACATATTTGCAAAAAAGAAACACATCCATACTCACAGCATTATCAAACTCTACACTAGTAATCCCTGCATTACTGCCAGATAGGGCGGCTTTAAATTCACACTTATCTGTAATACAAAAGAAAAGAGTTAGGAGGCAAGAAAAAGCATGAATGCACGTCAGTTTCATTCAATCTAGCTAAGAAACATATCTCAAAGATATAAACCACAGAACTGATCATTTAGAATTAGTAATACATCATTTCTATTTCTTGATTGATAAAACTGATTTATATGTAAGGCAGGCTGTAAGGCTCAGTTCCAATTACTCTATCTTATGATGCTACTCTTCAGAATTTGGGCACAGAACATTCTTTTTCCCAACCTAGGTATTTCACTACATCCTTCTAATGGAAATGGTAAGGATTATCCAACCAAGATTGTGCTGCATCAGTAAACCCATATATCTTCTATTGCAGGGGTGTCAAACTGCCGGCCTGCGGGTCAGATGCGTCATGGCGAAACCACGCCCACTCCATTGCCAGCAATGGAAAAAAAGTTGTGATTATGTTGCGACATGTCACGTGATGTTGCGAGTTTGACACCCCTGTTCTATTGTCTGAACAGTTTTGGAAAAGATATTTTATCTCTCCAATGCATTAAGGAATTTATTTGGGGATTCCTACATTAATTTCTTAGTTCAGAACTGTAGATACCTTTTAAAGATATCAACTACAGAATCAAACTTGTAAGCAAAAAAGCATGTGTCCATGAATTAAAACCCCTTGTCTTTTTTTATCTATAGTTCTTTAAAGGACTTACCACCAAAAACTTCCCAAATTTTGACTCTCCGGTCCAAGCCTCCTGTTGCTAATAAACGAGATCCAGGGCTGAACTGGACTGCATTAACCTCCCCATCATGTGCATCCTAAGAAGATGCAAAATAACACAGAGACAACAATTATTGATGATTTCAGGACCCAGATCTGTCAGCCTCTAGCAGCATACATTAAAAAAAAAAAACCAAACGAGACTCTAACAAAGTAACAAAAAAAAAGTCTATCAACTCTTGAGTTTTTCAGTATACATTTCCTGTTTAAAGCTATCTATAAGAAACTTTATGACACCCAGTTTGGTTTAGTAGTAAGACATTTGGTTAGAAATCAGGGCACTGTGAGTTCAGTCCTGCCTTTGGTACAAAGCCAGTTGAATGACTTTGGGCCAGTCACTTTCTCTCAGCTCTAGTTAGAAAGCAATGATAAACCACTTCTAAAAAGGTTGCCAAGAAGACTGCAAGGACCTTTCTACGCAAGTTGGAAATAATTGAATGAAAGAAAAAAAAAAAGAAACTAAATACATGTACAGCCAAATCTTTTTTTTTTTTTTTTAAATCCAGAACAAAGGCCTAGGAACTGTTTTTTGGCATCAAAGAATTCTACTCCTAAAATGCTGCATTCAGCTGAAGAAATGATAAAAACTACACGTTGAAAAGCAGTCAAGAAAAGAATGGGATATTAGTAAAACAGTAAATCTGACTATTAATATATCCGAATGAAAAGAAAAATAATTTTGCATTTATAAGATTAAAAGGCAAAGGTTTCCCCTGACCCAGGAATAGGCATAGCTGGCTCAGGAATTCTGGGAGTTGAAGTCCACGAGTCATAAAAGAGCTTGGCTGAGCCACCGCGTCCCTTTTATAGGTAAAACAATTATTAAATTTGTATTTATGTCTCTATGTTTGTGTGTATTTTTGCTAGATTATGTTTAGTACTTGTACATTATGAAGTGATTTTACACTGTTTAGGATTAAATGCTTACATTCTAGAAATGTATTTTACTCCATGTCATTCCTAAATCTATTCCACCTATATGGTCATTTTATTTAAATAACTTTATGCATTTAATTGAAAAAAATTACTACAGAAGTTAAAAGTAGAAAAGTAATACTGAGTCAGAAAAAAATATATGCAGGAAATAAAGAGGTCTCAGCTTGAAAACTAAAGATCATGCACATTAAGAACACATTCCAGAACTGCCAGCTCCTTGACTGGTTTTGTTGGGAGAGAGTCAACTCTAAGTGCTTTTGACTGCAAGCAACATGAACTGACGATACCCACATAATGTCAGCAGCTTCATAACATCTGTCAGCATTAATGGAGCATGGATGGAAGAAAGAAAGAAAAAACTGCTGGGAGCTCTGGAAGTTGTGGATGTGCAATTTCACTAGTGCAATCAGACCTTTCATTAATCATCATTGACCCCAGTATTTATTAGAATTTCTCAGGTTTTGGCTCGTATAGAAGGACCCCATTTCTTATTGCAAAAGCCACACTACAATTCTTTCCAAAGTCACAATAGCCCCTCTATAGCCATGTCAGGAACATATAGCATCTGATAAGAAAAACAAAGAAATGATTGACTGAACATGAAGTAAAACTTGAAGCACTTTACATGTTTACACTGCAAAGTATCACACAATAGGAAAACTACTCAGTAAAACATATTAATTTTTTTTAAGATAATGCATCCTAGACATACTTACAAAGACACACACTGCTATGTTGGGTAGTCGGACCTCTCTGCTTGCAGTAGGATGTACATCAGTGTTATCTTGAGGGATAGGACATGAGGATAAAGAACGCCTCCTGAGAAAGGTTACATCAATATGCAAATAAGTATATAGAGGAAATTAGCTATGTCTCCAGATTATAGGCAGGGGGATGGCCTCAACTACACAATAGGTAAGAATGGAAAGAAAGGCAAGGAGTCTTAAAACAAATTCAAGTATTCAACAAAAAACAGGGAATCAATACCCAGAAATGGTTGTGCATATTAGGGACTCCTCTATAGCCTTTGCATCTAGTTTCTCGTGTGAACCCAATCAACTGCATAAAAACTCTTTGTGCCAGAGTGGGGAAAAATTTATCACCATTACAGCTGTTGCACTGAATCCCAAATTAAAAATGTTTGAGTTGAAGAACACCAATATTTATTTATTTGTTAAATATCTGCTACTATTTTAAATGCTTTTTCCTATACAAGGTAAATCCTATTTAGTTGCAAAGATGCATAACCTATGATTTAATTTAAAACTCACATTTCATTATTAACAGAGAGCTTCTACATAACACAAAAAAATAATAATTAAAATGACTGGACACAGCAATCATGTAGATTATGGCCAGCATTTCTTCCCTAAGCTGCTATACCTCAAGCATCCACGATATCTATGTATTATTTAACTAGAATGTCTTTTCAATGCTACAGAAACAACATGAGACAATTATTCAGCAACCCTCATTGCATGCTAAATTAAGTGTGAATAATTTCAAGCAAATTTTCACCTGGCAGTATCAGAAGAGTGATGTCCCAAAAGGGGAGACTCAGACAGACTGGAGGGAAAGATCAGAGGTCAGCACACAGCAGAAGTAAGGAATTGAACACAAAAGAAAAGGAGAGATAGGAACTAGAAGAAGGCTTGACATAAGAAAAATTGTTTGCATGCCTAGTATCACTGTGCTGCTATATATTGAACTAATATGTAATGAAAAGGTAAATGCGTAACAACCTACCCAAAGATATTAGTGATAGAATCCAGAAGGCCTCCAGGGGGCTGGGAGAGTCGCTTACTAAAGAGAAGGGGAGGACAGTTTTCAAGGAGATCAAAACACACAAGCCCATAACTCTCAATTTTGAAGCCCCACATTCAGCAAGGAAAGCAAATGATAACAGGACAGCAGAAAAAGCCACCAACTTGGTTCTAAGTCAAAAGCTTGCATAAACAATTACGAACTGAATACTGTTGTTGTATGAGCAGGAAGAAAAAGGTTCCCCAAAAGATATA